GAGCCCCACGTCCGGCTCCCTGCTCAGTGGGGAGCCTGCTTCTCCCTCCCCCTCTGCCTGCCACTCTGCCTACTTGTGCTCTCTCTCTCTGTCAAATAAATGAATAAAATCTTAAAAAAAAAAATATTAATGTATCTCAGAGTCCAGTGGCAGGGAGAGGGTTGTGAGGGATGGGCAGAGCAGTTTAGGGCCCTGTGCAACCAGATGGCAACATTCATGCGGTCAGGGCCAGTGGGGGTTGGGGGGTGGAGGAGGTGGGATATCCCACAGGAAGAAGAAATCTAGAACAATTGGATTTCTTTTCATAGAAATCTTGTGAGGTGCACACATGGAAATTTTAACGTATTGATGTCTCTCTCTGATGTAATAACAATTTGTCACTTCAGAAGAGATTAATCTTTTCATAAGCATTTTGTGGATTTAAAATCTTAGAATGTTCTTAAATTTGAAATGATTCATGGTCTAAGAAATAAGCATAGTTGGATAATATAGCTTGCATGTTTTAAGAACCAGAATTATAACAACAGTTTTAGTAATACCCACATAAGAGAACCATTGGTGTCAAAGTAAATTTCTTGTTGTACTTAAATTATCATACTGCAGATACACTATCTGATTTTCATAATAAGTATTATTATCTAAAAATATAATGATTAATAATTTGACACAAACCTCTGTTTTAGTGTGTTGTTGTTTTTGATTTCATGGTACTTTATTTTTAAGCATTTTTTAATTCATTATCAATAATATTTACTTTAAGTGAATTGTTCTTTCTGTGTATATTTATTAACATAATATAACGGTTGTAGCCAGGGGTATATCTTTTTGAAGCTTCTGATAATTCTTGTTTCCTAGGTCAGTCCCTCCTTTCTTACTTTTTCTTGGGTGGTTACCTGTAACACAGAGTTAAAAAAACCAACCAATTAGGAAATTCAAAGTCCAGAATTTTGCAAATTAGACCTCTGTGCAGTTGGCACGATCTCTTTAGGTAGTGTGAAATCAATATATAATAGTAGTATTTGAGGTTTATCGAATACTTACATTTTGTGTTTTTACATTTATTGTTAAACTCTCTGGAACAACTCTATGAGATAGAGGTATCATCGAGGATACTCAATTTATAGCTAAAGCACAGTGATTAAATAACTTGCTCTTACACAGCTCAAAAGTGGTAGAGCTTGAATTCAAATCCGTTTTCTTAACTATTGCACCAAAGACTTATTCTGTCTATTCATCTGATGGAGGCTTCGTGGTACCCCTGGCTCTAATGTGAGGAGTATAATACAGATCCTTCTGAGTGGTGAGTTACTTATTGTCACTCATCATTGCAGGCTGTGCTATGACCTGGACAGCTCCCCACTTCAGATGGTTTGCTCATCATTCACTTAGCATAAGTAAACAATGGCTCTGCATTTTTAATACCCTGCTTTGGTGATTTTTAGGACATTAGATGGGTTCTGATCAGTGTATCCTGCTAAAAGTACTCTGATTCTATCTCACCTTTGGACACAGCTTAGTTATCAAAGGATATTTTCCAGTGTTCATATAGTAAATTACTGTAATAGGAGGAAGAATGTTGAGCTGCAAACAATGTACTGTAGTAATTTTGCTTTCCAGGTAAACATTTCCCTATTCTGAAAATTTAAGTTTGCCCTTGGAATTGGTTTCTAAATGTGCTCTGTGTTACAGCTGCAAGGTAGCTTTATTTATGTTGAATGTCCATTTTTCACATTATCACGTTTCTTCTGGTGTCTCAACATTATCAGGATAGTATAGTTTTAGTAATAGAAGAAATTTTAAAGGTTACTTATGTCTAACATTTATCTTGTTTAGATTTAAGCCCCTTTAGCACTGTGGGGGTACCATTAGTTAAAAAATCTAATAACTTGATTTCTGGATAGTATTTTTGGTGCTTATTAGCCAGTGAGCCAATAAATACATTTAATTTTGGAAAGTGTATTACAGAGTTAAATTGCTGATATAAATGCAGCCATTTAACTAATCATCTTTGTTTTTTGTACATTTTCATACAGAAAAAAGAACCTTCTAAATCCAGTGTCAAGAAAAAAGTGACCAAGGTCGCAGAAGCAAAAAAAGTAATGAAGAGAAATTTTAAAGTGAATAAGAAGATAACATTTACTGATGAAGGGGAGGTAAGATTCTTAAATGCTTCATTTCTGAGGTACCATCCCAGTATTGTAAAGAGTCTGACTCTCTTCTGACGTCCATTCATCAGTGAGAAAAAGAAACTGTTTCTTTAGAGCACGAGGCAGCTCCTGTCAGTGTTGTCTTAGGCAGTTCTCAGCTGTACGTCTGGAGGCAGGAAGGCCTCACGGACAGTAAGCTGCCACAGTTCTGGGTGCTGATGACGCGGAGTTGGATTTGAGCTTTCTCAATTCCGTTTTTACAGGTTAGACTTTCCCGTCAGGGTGTCCGTCAACACGTTCTGTGGCAACAAACGCAAGAATAGTAACACAACTACTTGCCACAGCCTTTCCTGGACTCTGTAAAGTTTCTGCTTTGCACTTCCTCCGTTACCACGCTGTATTGGCATGTTTCTTACCAGGCTGGCTGTGAGACGGCGTTTTCTGCTTCACATCGGTGCCTGGCTCTCACCTTACCATTACCTTGGTCTTCGTGTAAATAGGTACCACTCGCAGATGGCTCATGAAAAGTCCCTCTGTTAAATCACAATGTTCTCTCCGTTTTTAAAGAGGAGAGAGGTCTGGAAAGTCAGGTGACTTACCTAAGGAGTAATGGTGGTTAGTGGTCATAGTGGGTCTTCAGAATAGCCGCTCCTGGTTTTCACTCTCTTCAACCTACAGGTTTTCCTGTGCATCCTGGTAGAGCACACACCCACTGTCCCACTGTCATCTCATTTTCCTTGCCTTGTCTTTTATTTCTTTCTTCCTAGCACTTATGTGACTTTATATTCTCTATTTACGTGATTGTTGTCCTTTTCTTCCACTCTAGTGGAATGAGGGTAGCTACCTGAGGGAAGGTATCTGTCCGCTTTGCTCACTGCTCTGTCTCCAGCACTGAGAACGGGGACTGACATACAGTAAACCCATAAGTTTATTGAATGAATGGACTGTTTTCTAATATCCCAATAAAATAACAGTTTTTAAGATACTGACTGTAATGTGTCACACAAGACATTTCCTCATCATTCATACAAATGCTGCATAAACAGTCTGTATCCAGTGGAGTATGTTTCCTATTAACTGTGAGGTTAACAGACATCTGGATGTTACTTGGCAAAGGGAGCCCAGGTTTGCACTAGGAATATGGAGTAAGGTGGTGTATAAATCATATGAAGAAAGAGCGCAATTTAAAGTTGTTGGAAGTTGCAGAGGAAGCCTATAGAATTGATATGTAATGGATCCATATGAAATTATTGAAAAGAGGTCAGCACCTGAAGCAGGCTCGGCCAAAATATAGTTGTATTACGTCAGATGCTTACTGTAAAGCAAGATTAGTGCTGTTAGCATAATGAGGTTCCTGACTGTGCTAGTGCGTTTAACTGCGCGGATTATACCAATTTGCTCCAAGGGGAGTATAAATCCTTAACTGTAAAATGTTTCCCTGAAAACTTAACTGCTGATAAGGAGCCCTGTCTGGCTATGGGCCACACTGAAACTTCTGCTCTGAAAGTCTGAGAGAACTTTTCCTTCAGCCCGCAGAGGCCTGAACTTTTTTCATGCGGTCATAAAAAAGGACTGAAGAGTCGGAGCAGTGGGTGGTATTCTTTCTGTCACACCGGCTTCCTCTCCCTGCTTCTTCAGTGTCAGTGGCTGCTGGCATGGCCACCCACACACTGACAGGTGTGACCCCCATTCGGTGCCAAACGTCGAGACGCTGTGGGAATCCTGTCTTGAAGACTGGCTGGTGACAGGAGTGAGAGGAGCTGACGAGAGAATGTGTGTGCCTACAACTTCACTTTGCTTGCAGTTTAATTAGTGGCCTTTCAAAACAATGGCAGCTACTGAAATCCTCTGGCAACCAATTACTAGTTAAAAACAAGAGAATAGGTTTTGTCTAAATTGTCTTGAGTTTTACAGTGTTAGACCTGGAAGATGACTGAGTCAAATAGACCTTTTTAAAAAATTTTCAGACAAGGACACAGATGCCCAGAAATGATTTATTCAGGATTATGCAGTAGGGCTAGCATAAAAGTGAGGACATTAAGCCAGGTCCCCTGACTCCAGATCAGTGCTCTGACTTCTGTGTTACCTTGTTCCTAACCGTGAACTGTATGTGTAAATTGTGTAGATTTGAGCCAGCTCCTGAAATCCAAGCTAATTCTCTTTTATGCCTAGTTATTTTAGTGTTTATGTGTATTACGGGCTGATATGGGATTTATCGATCAATTTTGAGCATTCAATATGTGCCAGATACTGTGCTGGGCCCCGAGAATACATAAACAGGATAGACAACAGCCCTCAAGGAGATGAGATTAATTCTCAGCAGAAACACAGGAAAACACGGGAAAGTCAAACAACAGTATGGGGAGAGAAGGGTCGAGGTGCCAAGGTAGCCGGCGGGACTGCTTGGGTCCACCTGGCTCCTGTTCTGCACATGTTGGGAATGGAGCCAGCAGATCATAGCCCATTAAGACACTGAGATGATGTGGAAGCAACTAGCTTCTCCTCCAAAGTATTTCATGACATTTTCCTTTATTCCTGCTGGGTCACTGGATTGTGGCAGCATTACTTTATCCTGACTGGGACAGTCTTTTCAGGGGTTTGCTCGCTTTATTTATAAAGTTTGTTCGGAAGCTTAAGAAATACAGGTTGTAAGGCAGAAAGTGGGGAGAATACACCATTTCAAAATCATTATACAAAGGGAAATGGTTTTTTGTTGATGTTCCCGGTCCTCTGCCCCATACTTACTGTTTTCCTGTCTTCAGTTAGTTCAGCAGTGGCCACAGATGCAGAAATCTGTCTTGAAGGACACCGACGATGAGGACGGTGCTGGTGGCATCAACTTAGATAGAGCCAAGGAAAGGCTTCAAGAAGAGGACAGATTTGACAAAGAAGAATATAGGAAGAAGATCAAGGCAAAGCATCGGGTGAGCTTTCCATCTTGAATTAATACTGAATAACATTTTACATGTTCCTAAATATTCATTAGATGGTCATCAGTAACCATATTACTTTCTTCATTGATTTCTTGAACCCTTCTTTCTCTGAGGGTATTTTCTCATCTTATCTAGTCTCTTTTTCTTGCTTCTGCTGGTGGAGTCTTGTATACTGACTGGTTTCTAAGAACGTTGCCCAAATCTGCTTTTGGTTGAGGTAACCCAAATGATATTAGTGATTTCTTTTTAAAGTTTTGATTTTGAGATTAATGTGGTTTTACATGCAGTTGTAAGAAGAAACAGTCTGTATTACTCTCTCGTCCTGTGTGCTCCATTTCTATAATTTTTGCCATTTCAGGAATGTTAGGTAAATGAAGCGGTGGAATGTGTTTGTAGCCTTTTGGGACTTGCGTTTTATACTCAGTGTAATTCTGTGTAAATTCACCCAGGTTGTTGTGTGTCTGAGTGCTTGGTACAGATGTACCACAGGTTCTTCACCATTTACCTGTTGTTTGCAGCTTCAGCTTAATAGTTGATAATGCATGGAAGATTTACTTAGTGTATTTAAAAAAAATAGAAAGAAAAGAAGAAACCTTGTAAGAGGGAGTGCTTCTGTATAAGCATGTGCACCGTTAGCCTTACACTTGGCAGTTTTCTGTTACCCTGGAACTGGGCTACTCCATTCCGGTCACTCCTGGTCTTACTGTCTTTTCACACTACTTAATTCCCATAAAAGTGGACTTTTCACTAGATAAATGATTCAGTTAATGAAATAAGGCAGATTTATATTTTTAAGGACATTTCTGTAGCATGCCCTTGAGATAATGAATGATTTCAGGGGAACATAGTCTCATGCCCAAGAATCACTGCTATAACGTGAGGTTCTGGGTTAAGAAACTTGTAAGCTTTTGGATGTGGACATTGTTAACTATATCCTGGGAAGGATTCTTGTGGGTTTTGACTCCTCTTTGACCTTGTAATGATTCAGGAACTATTATAGAGCAGCAGTTCTTGTTTCTTCAAGGTTCGATGCAGCTTCGCAGTAGCATTTGATGAATAAGAAAAGTAGACATTGAAGATAGCTGCAGGGGTGGAAATGAATGGTGAGAAAATCCTTTTAGAAATGTGGGGAACAAATGAACCTCAAACACAGTTTGTAGTTCAGAATGTTATTTTGAAAACTAAACATTCCATGCATTGCTGTTTATTACAGTACTTTAAATTGAAATTTGGTACTAATTATTTGTTATTAAAATTTTTAATTAATATTATAAAAAATTTTAATAATATTAAAATGTCAGCAGCATGTCACATTTCCGCTTAGAGTACTTATCCAGGGGAAGATTGAGCATAAGGACATTTTGTCCTTTATTTTTACATTGTAGCCAGCAGTACAAGCAACAGGAGGTGTTTCCCACTGCTGCCTGTTCTTGTCTCCCCTGCTCTCCCTCCCCCGTGTGTGGAAGTTACTATATCCAGGCTGTGGAATATTGTTTCTGAAACCTTTAAAATCTTAATTTCAAATTGACTAAGTGTACATTTATTACACACTGTGTGCTAGGCTCTGCCCTAGGCTGTGAGGATAGAATACTTAAAATATGTGGGTTCCTCGGGGTGCCTGGGTGGCTCAGTTGGTTGGACGACTGCCTTCGGCTCAGGTCATGATCCTGGAGTCCCGGGATCGAGTCCCGCATCGGGCTTCCTGCTCGGCGGGGAGTCTGCTTCTCCCTCTGACCCCCCTCCCTCTCATATGCTCTCTCTCGCTCTCATTCTCAGTCTCTCAAATAAATAAATAAAATCTTTAAAAAAAAAAAATATGTGGGTTCCTCTGTCCTTGGGAAGATTATAATTAAACAGCAGTTAACTGCACACAAGCTTTTTATGCCTCTATTTTTTTTTACGTGAACATTTTTGAAATGAAAAATATATTCATGTTCTAAAATCAAGATCATAAAAAAGCTAGTTGAGACATCTTGCTTCTGCCCATGCCTGTCTTCTTACTCATACCTACCCCCATAGGTAACTGTTTTTATTAATTATTAATATATCCTAGGGGCACCTGGGTGGCTCAGTTGGTTAAGCTCCAACTCTTGATCTTAGCTCAGGTCTTGATCTCAGGGTCGTGGGTTCAAGCCCCACATTGGGCTCCACGCCCACGTGGAGCCTACTTAAAAAAAAAAAAAAATATTGACATATCCTGGCGTTTCTTAATGCAGATGTGAGTAAATAGAAATACAGATCCTTATTTTCTCCCTTTGTTACAGGAAAGGTAAATATACTGTATGTAGATTGTTCCGCACATTTCCGTTTTCACTTTTATGCTTTTAAATAATTTATTTTCTTTGCACCATTGTTAAAAGTAGTATGATTTTTAAACTGTCATGGTGACTATCTTACAGCAAGGTTGAACAGAGCACTTTGGGCTGACATAGTTGTGAGAGAAATCACAAGAACTTCACATACTACTGGTTCTGATGTCTGTACCTCTGTAACTAAAATAGACAGAAGGTCTTTTTTAACAAGTCAAAGCTTGTTGTCTTGTATAAAGTAGGTATATTCTGCACAAGGTCACCTATGGCATACTTTCCGTATTGGATGTTGAAAATATTATGTAGACTGAAAAAAGCACAAGGAAATAACTAAAATAGTCTTCTCTCTGTTCAACTTTAATGTAAATGCTACCTGAGTCACAAGTGATTAGTTTCTTGGTATTTCCATCAGTAAAAATTATTACTTATGCATTTGTAAGTATTTGTGTATTAAATTAGCGAAAATATCCCATTTGAGCACTTTGGAATTAGTACGTTTATGACAGCATACCTAAGACACAGTACAGGCTGGGCGCCTGGGGGGCTCAGATGGTTAAGCGTCTGCCTTCGGCTCAGGTCATGATCCCAGGGTCCTGGGATCAAGTCCCACATCGGGCTCCCTGCTCCTTGGGAGCCTGCTTCTCCCTCTGCCTCTCTCTCTCTCATGAATAAATAAATAAAATCTTTAAAAAAAAAAGACACAGTACAGGTATTCACATCAGTCACGCACCAAACACCGTGGACTGGATTTCTGCCTCAAAGACATGTAGTATTTTTTTTTTTTTTTAAAATTTTATTTATTTATTTGAGAGAGAGAGTGAGAGAAAGAGCACAAGAGGGGGGAGCGGGAGAGGGAGAAGCAGACTTCCCGCCGAGCAGGGAGCCCGATGCGGGACTCGATCCCGGGGCTCCAGGATCATGACCTGAGCCGAAGGCAGTCGCTTAACCAACTGAGCCACCCAGGCGCCCCCATGTAGTATTTTTTTAAGTAGCAATTTGAACATTTGGCTTGTTTGGTGGAAGGAGTGTTACACTGTAAGGAGCAGTACTTGCGTTTGAACCCTGAGTCTGGCATTGCCTGGTCCAGTGGGATTACCAGTCACCAGTATGGACTGCAGTGTCTTGTTATGAAAATGAGGAAGTGGGAGTGGGGGTTCATACCCGATGATCAGAGGGATCCTCTGGCTCTGTGTGTATAGGGAGGACATGGGAATAAAATAACCCCTTGTTGTTTGGAAAATGGAATTTGAATTGGTCATCTTTCCCTGCTGATAAAATGGGTTCGTTGATTGATGATAAGGCCTCCTTCGAGGTTCACTTATTTTCCAGTGGTTACTAAGATTTAACTTAGAAGCGAAATATATTATTAATCCTGCACAGATTATTTTATCTTAATTGCTTTATCTGAACACATTATTGGTTTTGAAATCATATCTTTTTCCTAATTGAGTATATTACTTATTCTAATGACAATTCTTAGTTCTTCTAGCATAAGGTTTTACCTTGGGCAAATGTAATTGTTTCCCTTAAAATTGTAACTCATAATTTTGTTATTTCTATGGAAGAATACTGAGAAGAATTGTGTGTCCCTAAAGAACACTTGAAATACTAACTTAGGATCTAGGAATAAGCTTTACCTCATGAAGAAAGAAAAAGAAGAAAGAAACTTTAACAAAAAATTATGAGTGAGGGATGTGCCTGAGAAAATTGTACATGTAAAGAAAACTCCACAAAATCTCTATTTTTAAAAATATGTGTCAATTTTAGGAGTTTTCTTAAGCTTATCAGTGTTCGTTTAGCATATTTAGACTATTTCATGATTATTTTTTTGGTTTCAAAGGATAACATATTTAATATATATGTGAATTTTGTCATAATGATTCTGTTTGAAAGGCGGTGTTTGCTCCTGCTGTTTAAACTTAACAGCTTTGCACCATGGTTTCAAGCGCACACTCCCTCTCTGTGGTGTAAGACTCAGCTGTTCATTTTTGTCCTCCATGCTGATACACCTATTCTTGACTTGTATTTTCAGCTAGCAGATTCTGAAAGCTGTGTAGTTTCTACTGTGACTCAATTAAATATCTTTGTTCTAATGATTTAGAAACTGAGCAGTAAGAATTTTAACTAGTTTGTAAGAAACCCAAAAAAGCCATTACAGCCTCACTGGGAGTAGAATTTAGCTGTCTGCTGCTGGAGCTCAGAGCACCCTGCTCTCTGGACTTCAGGCCCTTGTGCATGGGCTGTGGGTCACTGAGTCAGCAGTGTTAATTTACCTTTGTGAGTCTTCTTTGCAGCCGTTAACCATCGCTTTTTTTTTTTTTCTTTCCCCCTGAGACCATTTCAGCCTTCAGCTTTCCCTGGCAGGTGGCTGTACCTAAGTAGGCCTGTTAGTATTTAATATGCTGAATCTGTTGAAACCACTCATCAGAAGTAAGATTATAGTAGGAGCTATAATATTTGCATAGAAGACCATTAGTAAGTTAGTATATTATAAAGGCAAAACCACTACTTTTGGATGGAAACAATGTGTTTTCTTGTAATTCAATCAGAACTCTGAAAGGTGGGCTGTGGATCACATCAGTGAAAGGTGTCTTTACTTTAATGGAGTGAAAATCTGCTTTGTGGTGTGTGTCATCATTCTTAGCTGTGAAAGATTGCAGTATTTAGGGTGATAATATCTGC